ACCCCAACTATCCCGACTGGAAGCCAGCCTTGTAGCCTCCACACCTTACCAACACCCCAGGCATCTTGACTGAAACCCAGTCTTGTAGCCTCCCCACCCCACCGACACCTCAACAATCTAGACTGAATCCCAGTCTTATCGTCTCCCCGGTTCAAGGTGTCAAACTTCGGCGACAACATGGCGGTAATGTCTACTCCCAGCGCCAACATGGGTGTAATGCCCACCCCAACACCGCCTATGGGGCCGCCATGTTACCCAGACAACCACACCGGCTTTACGGTGGAGCAGCAGAACGAGTTCAGCGAGCGTCTGAACAAACAGGGGCTGCTCCCTGACAAGGTCGAGGGCATTCAGGTACCACGGCCATTTCCCCTTCTGTGGGTACCTGTCACGAGAGCAAGAGAATTGCAGCCAGGATACGATTCGAGGACCGATCTTGTGTATTTCCTCTCGCGCTTCCCGCCTCCTCCGTGGGGTCCTATCTTCGAGGAGTTGCGCCACAAGTGGCAGCGTCAGGACGAAGCCGCCTACTGGGCCAGCCAGCAGGCGCAGATGCATGGGCAGCAGCTGGCGGTGGGTTGGCAACAGGTGCCATACGCTCATCCACAGCAGGATGAGATGGGTGGCCCTGGTAGTCACAACGCGCAGATGCACGCGCAATACTGTGAGGCCAGGAACGCGGAGGAGACACTTGCTGCCGCGCATCGAGCAGCGGAGAAACGGCGCCGGGATGACATGGCAATGGAGAGGGGAGACAGCGGTGTCGATGTGTTGGGCAGGCACAATGAGTCCGGGCTTGAAGAGACTTTGGCGTCCGACCCCAATATCGATCCAGCTTTGCTCGATATGGGATACGGGCGGTAGTGGACTACGTTTGCTGAGTGATCTTGAAATACCACATCACACCGCGAGCCATTGGAGCTGAGTAGCGATGCGGTATCTGGCTTCGACTACTGCGACCCTCGAGAGCGAAGAAAGTGGACAAAAAAGACGCGGTCGATAAGACTGGCTGAGCTGGAGAGATAGATACACGCGTACGGAAGGTTGCGCGAGAGTACTGTTTTATTACGATGGTTTCCTGCATTTCAGTTGCATACATACTTTTCATAGAATTACACATTTGACAATCCATCCTTTGCTGCCCACCCGACGCGCAACATCGCACATCCTCATCGCAACACCACACGCGTTGAAACATGGAGATCGTGACGCGAAATTACTGACGTCGAACAGGCGCAGCGCGGTGGTCCGTTCTTAGTGCGATGACGATTTACGGGGGCACTGCCCGCTAGGTGGCAACCTGCAGCGTGATCACCGAGTGCAATTCCGCGCGATGCCGATGCGATCGGACGATGCCAATGTCCGGATGTGCGGGTGTGTATATCGTGTGAATCGTTGAGAAGCGATGGAGAGCGATGAAGATGCGTAACGTTGTGGGAGAGCGATGCTCGATATCGGAATGAATTATTGTGTGCGACAATGCACGTCACAACGTCATGACAGGCTCGAGGTCTGGAATCCGCTTGCACGCCAACACGTGATAGCGCGCTTGGCGTTGAGGCGGAGCGCTCGGACAGCGGAATTAGCGATGAAGCCTCTTGGAGCTGGTGCCAACCTCTCCAGACCCGCGTCCCCTTTGCCTCCAAACCTCCATCGTCCAGAACCCCAATGTCTCGCATTCAATGGTGTCCTCGCAAAATGAGGTGGGTATCGTTACCTACCCGGCTACTGTCAACATAGCGACACTTGTCATCTTCTTCCTCTACCTCCTCGTCTCCATCTGGCTCATCATCCGCCAGGGCCTGGGCCACAGCTCGCCATGGATCTGGCTCACCCTGCTGTCCATATGTCGCCTCACGCAGGTGTCGCTCGATTTGGCAGCCACGACCAAGTTTCCGAAATTTTCAGCGCCGAACACGACCCTGGAAAGCGGTGTTGCCATCCTCACCACCATGGGGCTCACGCCGTTGTTTATGGCCACCAGTAGCTTGCTCAACACGACCACGCGCCCCAAGGGCCGACGCATGCAATGGATCCTGCTCATGGTCCACATCCCGCTCATCATCTCCTTCATTCTTATCGTGGCGGGCGGCATCGATCCGGATTCTCGAGACGGACCCACTTTTGCAGCGACGGAAGCCACTAAAGCCGGTGTTTCGCTCTACTTGGCGTGTTTCCTCGTCCTCATCTGGTCTACCACGGTCATCTCAGCGCGTCTCTACCTTGCCGACAGGGACGAGGTGCGGATTCTGACGACCGTCGTTATGAGTCTGCCGTTCTTCGTCGTCGATGTCGTCTACATGATGTGCTTCGCGTTTGAGCGGTGGCGTGCTAACGAAGGTTCCGATGGTTGGAAGAGCATGCGCTTCAACGTCATCAGTGGTAACGTTACTCTGCAATTGTGCATGTGAGTATTACGATTTTTGTTAAGTCTGCCTCATTTGCTAATGTTTGTAGGCAAGTTATCATGGAATGGATCATTGTCGGGCTGTACCTTGCCCTGGGTCTAGAATTGCCTAGCAAAGCTGTGAGATTGCGAAGGCAGATCGAAGACCAAATGGACCAGGCCAGGAACATCGACGTTGACGCATGGCAAGAGACAGTGTTGTGGAAGTTGCACGACAGCGTATCGCGGCTTGTCGCTGCGATGATCATGCCAGCCCTGCAATTCGCGCACTGGATGTTGGGAAAGATATTACGGTCCGGGCAACAAAACACGCCTTGAGGTGTCCGACAAGAAACATTGCTCTTCAACATCAACATCAGGATATGATCTCTTCTCAGAGCGCGACCGCGGCGGGCCTATGACGTCACGAACGACTTCGCTGTCGGGAATCCTTCACGAAACGCATTCCCGGACTTCATCTCCAAGACCACGACAGCACCTCGCTACAAACCCCATTGCATCAGCCATTGCGTCTGTCAATCAGACCCATTGAGTTTGTTCGCTCTGCCTTTGGTCGTGGCAAATTGCATCGAGGTTCGGCTATCGCGGCTCGCAAGCAGCACCCCTGTGCCCACAATTCGCGATGCGAAACACCAAAGTCCGCCACCACGCGAACGCGCTCTTCCTTCCCCGTTCCGAGTCGCGTTGGATTCTTACGACGGACCGGCATATTGCCAACTGTGAAGAAAGGAAGGCAGCAGATTGGAGGAAGCGCTACAAAAGACGGCAGCGAAAGAAGGTGGCGGCGGGATGGCTGAGAAGTAAACATAGATTACAGCTCATCACTAACGCAATACATACAAACCACATTGCTAAGATACCTCGCTGACACTTTCCAACTCATTGCCAGACACGTGCGGGCGACATCACGAGAGGTCACGTCTATGCCATGCGCCTGCGGGGTGGCTAGATGTTGTGCTGCATGATGCCGTACACACAATATTGAATATCAATAACTAAACAACTTGTACGACAATGTCTACTTGTACCCTTGATCATATCTCGCAAAATGCCACCCGCATTGTAGCTATCCCAGGTATCGACCGATGCATTGTCGCCTCTCCCACTGCTCCGGCCGGGCATACGCCTTAATCGTCACAATCGCCTTCTTTGCGCAAATCAGTATATAAAGCTTTTCCAGCGACTGTCCTGCCTGTCTTCATTACCACACACAACTCCTACTTTTACCAAACCCAATTCAAAAGATGCGCATGTGTGCGGCTTCGGGCCGTCAAAACCTGATGACTTGCAATCCAATGAAGCCAAGAACAGAAGCCAGAGCATGTCTCAAAAATCGGGTTTACTGCTGGCCATGTCCGTTGAGTCGGAGTTCAAATTAAGACTCTTTTTTTCCATGCAGCTGCTCGCGTCGTCTTTGGTACAATTATAAAAGACTTCATTGTCTGTCTTTCTTCCTTACTCTTGCACTACAATACCTTACCGTTTCCACCAAAATACTCTCACCAATCCGCTATGGGCCCTCGTCCTCGTCCGATTCTTCGCTCAAAACAGAACAAGAATCTAGCCATGATCTAGGAAAGCGTGTGCGATACACAACATACGAATTTGAGGAATCACTTCAATAGTCATAAATCAAACTTTACCGATAGCACTACGATGTGGCTGCCAAAGTCTGTTCTCTTTCATTTTACATGATAAACATACTTTTTCATGTCTAGGAACCTTGAGAAGACATTCATAAAACCCGACACGGCTAGATCCATGTTTGAAGCGTAGCGAAACTCCAAGATCACGACGAAGCTGAAGGATGCCATGTTACGCAGCGAAACGTGATCCACGCGATAACAGCGTAGATGCTAATCAATGATAGTAATGTAACATTGCTTGTCCTAGCGCTGTTGTGCTATATAAAGTCGTCTCCTGTCTCAATTTCTAGTTCCTTACTTCTAATGCACATATTTGCACTTTTACCAAAATTAACAGCTATCGTTCCCATGTGGAGCGTCTGCTTCTCTCGCTTCCCAAATACTCACAAAGCATTAGTCATGAGCTGAGCTCAGCAACGAGATATTAATGGAGATGTTCTCGCATGTGAGATGTTTGTGACAAAATGTCGTGATGCTATGAAGCTTAGAAATACGATATCATTGATGCGTAGCCACCCCATACTGGCAAAACTTTGAACACGTACCTCCCAAGAGTTTACATCGTCTGCAGACGCTATCAGCTTTGAATTTTCTATCTGATGTAGACGACAGCGCATCTGTTCACTTGCTTCATCCCATGGGGTGCAGCCATCGTCGAACCAATAAGGAAGGTGGATGAGGTCTTGGCAACGACGTCATTCCGATGCTCGGGGTTTGGGTGAGGCTACCCGCGATAAGATCGGAACAAAACATCGGCACCTGCATTAGCAAGCATCGTGACTACATGCGAACATAGGCTTTCCGCGTCAATTGCAGTCGCGATAACTACCCGCGGTGATGTATGACAAGCCATTGAGTTGAGAGGATGTATAAATGGCATTTCCGATGAGTTGGTAAATGTCCGCAGGTCGCGCCTTCCCTACACAGACTGACACCAGCCATTCAGAATGGTGCACCTCACACGCCTAGCATTTGCAGCGCTCTGCCACGTGGTAGCTAGCCAAAATATGCCTTTCGACGCGCGAGAAGCGACCATCGACTCTGTACACCATGCGCTCTACTCCGGACTCTCAACATGTCGCGAAGTGGTATCTTCTTTCCTTTCCAATATCGAAGCCAACAACAACCGGACGAACGCAATCATTACGTTGAATTCCAATGCTTTGGCTATCGCCGATGAGCTGGATGAGCAGCTTTCGGCCGGAAATGCTACTGGACCACTGTTTTGCGTTCCAATACTGCTCAAAGACAATTACGATACAGCAGATATGCCAACGACGGGTGGAAACCTGGCCTTGGCGCATTCGCAACCATCTGAAGACGCTCCAAGCGTGGCTGCTTTCAAAAAGGCAGGAGCCATCATCCTAGGCAAGGCCAACCTCCATGAGCTAGCTTTGGAAGGCATCAGCGTGTCTTCTCTAGGTGGTCAGACAATCAACCCGTACGACTCAACCCGAACACCAGGCGGAAGTTCGGGTGGCACTGGCGCTGCTGTCGCCTCGTCATTCTGCGTATTTGGCACCGGCACGGATACAGTGAATTCACTCCGCAGCCCGGCATCAGCAAACTCTCTATGTAGCATCCGGCCTACGCGTGGACTCATCACTCGGACCGGCATCATTCCCATATCGACCACACACGATGTCATTGGACCCATCGCACGAACGATCAAAGACGTCGCCACAGCGCTGACTGTCATGGCTACAACAGGCTATGATGCAGCCGACAACGACACTGCACTCGTCCCAGGTCACATTCGCAGCACCAATTACGCTTCCAAGCTTTCCAGCACCTCACTCAAAGGGCTGCGCATCGGTGTATTGAACGGCTTCTTCAACCGCACAGACTCCCCCGAAGTCACACCGGTCAACAATGCCATGGACTCCGTCATGTCGCGTCTCTCCGCGGAAGGCGTGACACTGATTCCCATCAACGAGACCATCTACAACGCGAGCGCCATCCAAACCGCATACGATGTCCAGCGCTTCGAGTACCGCGAGCTCATGGACCAGTATCTAGAACGTCCTTCCCTTCAAGGCGAGCATCCCAGCACACTGAACGAACTATATTCTCGCAGAGCCTTCAATGGGTCCGGAGGAGAGTTCCTCGTCATCCCCTCTCAATACGAATACGTCAACACCGCCCTCAGATCTTCCACAGGTAACGCTACATACAACGATCGTCAAGCCGGGATCCGCAATCTCAGGCTCGCTCTTCTCAACACCTTTACTTCAAACAATCTCGACGCGATTATCTACCCCGAGCAGAAGAACCTCGTTGTCAAGATCGGTTCGCCGTCACAGTCTGGACGTAACGGTATCTTAGCCGCATTAACAGGTACGCCCGTTGTCACCGTGCCAGCGGGCTTCTCCGATCCGAGTGAAGAGGCGCCAATTGGCGTACCGATTGGCATGGAGATTTTGGGGAGGCCATGGGAAGAAGAGAAGCTATTGGGGATTGGGTATGCGGTGGAGCAATTGCTGAAGGTGAGGAGAAGTCCGGCTTGGGCGAGAGAGATGGTAGAGGGGAAGAAGTACGAGAGTGTGCCGGTCGTGAAGCCGGATACGGGAAATATTCCGGATGTGTATCCATTGGGGACGCTGAGATAGAGTTGAAGACGACAAGGGCGTTGGAGACGCCTATTGTCATCATTTTGTGAGATGCGTTCGGCACAATGTTAACGCACGATGCTGCTATTCAGCTTGAGTCACGAGAATACCACAACGATGCATCGTAGCAGCTGCTCTGTCCAACCCTTGCAGTTTTTCTGAAGCAACTATGCAAAACCTCGTAGCCTACCTTCTCGTCGGCTCTGCGTCGGTCGGGAAAGCTTCTCCAGCTCTATCGTCGACCGTACAGTCGCGACACCGGCTGCAAGCTCCCTTCTTTCTGCTCGCCATTGTAGAGACCGGGGACGGTGAAGACTGCTGAGGCGTTTCGGAAGGTATGAGGCACATTGCGACAGAGACCGGGGCCCGAGCGGCGTTTAGTTCGACGTCGCAATGGAAAAGCACCGCAGCCGATGCGTACCATATGTGACCTAAACTCTATGCTTAGGACATGGCTTCGTTGAGACTGCCGCAATCGTCAGGGCCTCAGTTGGTATGTGTATCAGGATTTGCAAAGAAAGTGACGTACCAATGCTGCGTCGTGGCTGTGCACCTAATAGCTGCGGTTGTATAGCAGAAGATACTCCGTCGCTGCTGACGAGCGCCGCACGTGAAAGCCCAAATGCCTTACTTCGGATGTCGACCGGTGTTGTGAGACGCGCCTCGGTTTGTCGGCACCACGGAGGTTTGCCAAGACCCTGACTAATGCGCGGGCCTAGCCGCTGGTGGCCGTCCTCTGCGCCTCAGAACCACACTCCAACCTCACAACACCCCCGCCGCGGCCACCAGTTCCACCCCAGTCGCGCACCAGCAGCCACAAACGGAACACTCAGGCCGGATCATGGTCGCGCCGGAGGCAGAAACTACCCCAGATGCAGTATCAACATCCCTGAAACCGACGATGTGCCACTAGAAAACCTTGTTCCCAGAAGGGAACGACGAAACTTTCAACTGACCGCTCTCGTGCTTCAAGATATGGAAACACCGGTTTGATTTGGTTTGGTCAGTCCGAGACCCTGATCACCCTGATCAACATCTGCAGGTATGGTCTGCATTCGCCTAGCACCTTGTCGCACATCTTCATCGTGGCCATTGCAGTACGGCTGATCGACGGACTTGCGCAGTCACGACTCGACGTACATTAGATTACAGCGTAATTGTACGCATCTACAATGATGACATCGAAAGAAAGTCAACGATACATTCTTGAAGGCAGTCGCCCGAACATCGTCAACTACCCCGAATAGCACGCATAAACGTCCACCGCCTCAGCCACTCTCAGTTTCATGGAATCTAGGGTTCATTTGTGTTCACTGCCAAGCTTTGAAACCTCAGACTTCCGAATGCTTAGCCCTAACTCGCCCTAGCCACAAGTCCGTTTATCCACCGGTAAACTTTGGACGATTCATGCAACACTGTGTGCTATTGCTGACTACGACAAGTTGGTGCCAAGTTCGTACCGACACAACCTCATCACCGGAATTATCACCAACTCATACGTCTCAAGCTCCAGTGATTACCGTCGAATTTACACCGGATTGGCTCGGTACACTTGCCAGACCACCTTCAACGTCGAAGACCCAACACACAGAGTCATGTTTGCAGTATGTTTCTGGATTTGATGCTGCCGCAAACACGTTTCGTACGTTTTCGTCTAGCGACTCCGCACCTCATGCAACGTTTCTACGAGACCACAATGGGTTTGAAACTCCATCATACCAGGCTCTCACGTCTTGGCCAAACCGGAGCGCCTCACCACCTTGGAACTAACCAAAGTCGATGCTGGTCACGATGCCGAATACCCTTCTCGGTGTCTGCCTGTGCTGTCAGATGTTGTATAAAGACGACCGGCCTCGCAACCTTAGAAGAGCATCAAGCAACAGGTTCCCAACCCAGCAACTACAGTAATCACCACTCCTCTTCTCTTCTATTATCTAATACCTCTTCACTTCACTACCTAATCTTTTCTCTGACCGGTTCAGACAATAATCAACAAAATCAACATGTTCTCCAAGATTGCCACCATCTCCATCAGCCTTTTGGCTTCCTCTTCCCTCGTGGCTGGCCACGCTGCCATCATCAAGGCTACTGGTGATGCAGGAGGTGCCGGTTCCGCCATTGGTGTCGACCCCAACACTCCTCGTGACGGTACCAACCGCAACCCCTTCCAACAGGATGCCACTCGCTTCCGTGGTGACGCCGCAGACACTTGCGGTGAGACACTCGGTGGAGGTGCCAACGACATCGCGGCTGGTACTGCTCAGGTCATGCAGCTCAACGGCGCCACTCTTCCTCAGGTCTCTGCTGGTGGTTCAGTCATGATGACTGTCCACCAGGTCAACTCTGACGGTGCCGGTCCCTACACTTGCATGGTCGACGCTACTGGTACTGGTACCAACTGGCAAGCCGCCACTGTCACCACCAACCTTCCTGGTAACGACCGTGGTCGCAACCGGGACACTCAGATGCAGGATCTTCCCCTGACCGTCTCCATGCCAGCTGGCATGACCTGCACAGGAACTGTCGCTGGCCAGAGCAACGTCTGCATGGTCCGCTGCCAGAACCCCGCTCGTGCTGGACCTTTCGGTGGCTGTGTCCCCGTTCAGATGGCTGGAGCTGCTGCTGCTGCCCCTGCCGCCGGTGCTGCCGCCGGTGCCGCTCCCGCTGCCGGTGCCGCCCCTGCTGGTAAGTTCTTCACACATAATCATCTCTACTTCAGTATCTAACTTGACATAGCTGCTTCTCCCGCTGCTGGTGCCGCTGGTGCCGCCACCTCTGGAACTGCCGCCGCTCCTGCTACCGGTGCCGCCGCCGGTGCTGCCGCCCCTGCCGCCGCCGCTCCCGCTGCTGCTTCCCCTGCTGCCAACGCCGGTGCTGCTACTGGAGCCACTGGCGCGACTGGTGCTACTACCGGTGCTACTGGCGCGACCGGAGCAACTGGCGCAACTGGTGCTACCGGAGCCACTGGTGCCACTGGTGCTCAGCCCGCTGCCAACGCTGGCGCCGCCGCTGGCGTTCAGTCCGGTGCAGGTGTTCAATCCGGTGCTACTGGCGCCACTGGTGCTACTACTGGTGCTGGTCTCGCTACCGGTGCCACTGGCGCTACCGGTGCTACTGGCGCAACTGGTGCCACTGGCTCTACCACCGGCACTGCTCCTCTCGCCGGTGGTGCCTCCCAGCGCAAGCGTGAGGCTGCCCGCAACCAGCCCGCACTCACCAACGACGACCAGGAGGAGGAGCTCGACCTCCTTGAGGGCGAGGACTTCTAGACGCATCGCTCAGCATCTTACGACGATAATATCACGATTGGTTACAAAACAACATAAATACGACGGAGACGGATGAATGGATATGGTAATGGAATGGGTTGTATATACCTCGAATAGTTTGGAATAGTTAGTGTGGGGTGGAGCTAGTTGCTCATCTCTCTGGCTGCGTCTGTGACGCGCAGAGGACGGGCTTGTCAATACTGGGTATTGTATGATAGAATTGGGTGGAAGTGGTCGATTGCGTGGTTTACTCGGGCTTGGGAACCCTGGTCAATTACGCTCCTTAATGATTAGTTTGGAATATACGATATACCTTTAAGTTTCTCCGCATGCAATGATTGTCTAGTATGAACTAACACTTGGCTTTGATGCCTGCGGGATTAGGCATGAAGTCAGGCTAAGCTTTCTGGATCTGCGCTAGGTGGTTCTAAGATGGATGGGATGCATGGATGAGGTGGCTATTATTGTTGTGGCGTATCGCGTTTCGATGGTGTTTCATTGCGACCGGAACGCACCCACCCGGATGCTGAACCACCAGCTCAACTGCACGGCTTGACTCACGAAGTCAGATAGTTGTAGTGGAAAACAAACCTAACATTGGAATTTCGCCAATCTTGCGATGATTGCTCGCTCGAATCCTACCGCGGCTTTGGAAGTCGAGGGGCTTCACGCAGTGAAACGAATTATCATAGGGAACGGCGTGATGTGCACATACGAGACAGTGAAAGGAACAGTGCAAGTATGGTCTAGTAGTTAATCTCAATATGGAAGGTGCATAGTAAAACGCCGATATCCAGTCCCAAATCCCATTTCCCAACCAAGTCCTCCGATCCCCTAAAATCATGACAGCCTTAAACGGGAGCTGAACAAAGGTTAGCAAATGACCATGATACAAACTTTGCGAAGGAAGCTTCACTCGCAGTGTGATGTAGAAAAGAGAACATACTGTCATTGTTGTTATAGCAAGGAGTGCGTCCCTGAGCAGTGATTAGACCAGCACAAGCAAACTTGCCGCCAGCGTTGCACTTGGTAGGGGTGTCCTCGCCGCTCTGCAGGAGGCGAGATGCGCCGGAACAGACGGCGGTGCAGTCGGATGTATCGCCGGTCTGGGCGTTCTGTTACCAGGGTCGTTAGTTTGAGGAAGAGAGGAAGGGAGTAAGTGGGAGATGTATGGGGCGGAAAGACGTACGTAGCCGTAAAGGCAGCAGTGAGAGCCGTCGTTGAAGAGACACTGGCATTGGCGGGCTCCGCTGCAGCCAGCTGCCTCACTGAGGGCAACGGCACCGAGGAAAACGAGGAGGGTGATGACGAACTTCATGGTAAAGGTTGGTTGTTGTGGTGTTGTAGTGTGGAGGAGCCGTGGGATGGTGAGTATTCGAGTGTCCTTCTTTGCTCTTTATATAGACATCAACGGTGGTGAAGCGGCTCTCTCCACGCACATCGAGCGCGCGATGACAACGTGACGCTGTCGTAGTATCGCCGGGAGGTCGCAACGGCGTCATGCTGGCCACTCAGAGATGCGGTGTAGGGGGCAGTGCGGCAAAAGGAGGTCATGTTTACAATTTCCTTCGTTCTTTCGGCTTTAATTTGGGTTAGAAGTGGGACTTTGAAGTAGGTGAGGCTCCGCTCTAGTCACTGATAGCCGAGTTGAAGCTACTTGAAGAGCACCTGACAACGTGCCGAGGGGTGACACTGCCGGATTGTAGGCGACATAGTCTCATCTTATCGACT